AAGATCATTTTGCATCGACAAACCTATATATTAATTATGATGTGATTTACACAATAATATTTGCTTACGCTCTAAGTGCCACACTAACTGGTGTCGGACTTTTATTATTTGTACGATTCAAGGTAATCTACCATTATATATTATTGACGTGTAATTGACGAATATATCATGTATATACTGTAGATATCAATTAATCATTGATTAATTGATATCTATAAAAAACTCTAGCTTCGTTTCCTTTTGGATATTTTCCCAAAACACATTTATAACGGAGTACTCGGTAGTATTGGTATTTACTTAGTATTGACTGCTATAAAGATTTCAGCACCAAATACCGAGACTTCTGATTATAACTATAGATTATTTTTTCATAAGAACAATTTTTTGTTATTTTCTTTGGCATCCATTTTGGCAAATCTCACAGTCTTTATTAGATGTAAAGCTAAAAACAATCATGTTCTGGTCACCACTTTAAGTTTTCTATCAATTTTCTTGGGCTTCTATTTTATCGCATACTTTTGGAGTATTCCTTTTGGATCATTGATTGAAGATGGTTGGATATTTGCTTTAGATAATCAAATCACAATGTCTAAATTCTACTCTAATTTCTGTAAGTATGAGTATACATAAATCTGCTTACTGATTTATAAACATAATATACTAATTTATCAACAATATATATTGATTGCATAGATTTTAGATTAATCAGTTGGGAGGCAATAGGAAAAACTATCTCTACAATGCTTATTCTCGTATTCTTTATGATTTTGAGTGCCCATATAAAAATTAGCAAATTTGAGGCTTCAATTGATGACCATAAAATGGATATAGATCGTGAATTAATTGTACAAGGAGTTTCTAATTTAATTTCTGGAATTTTTGGACATTTTCAAGGTTAGAATAGAATTATTATAATTATTTGTTCGTTTTGTGAAAATCATATAATACCAATACTGATTACACTAATAAATCATTATAGTTTCCTTGGGGTATGAAGAATCGGTTTTAATGGTTAAATCAGGAATAAATAATCATGTTGTAGGACTAAGGTTGTGGGCGAAACCTCTTAATGACTGTCGAAACTCTGTCGAAACTCTAATGAACAATTAATGTGTAACCTGTCAAAACTCTGATGATTGGCGAAAACCCCAAATGCGAAACTCTGCCGAAACTCTAATAAACAATTAATGTGTAACCTGTCGAAACTCTGTCGATTGATTTCTGGAGGAGTTTCTCCCGAAACCTTATGTAGGACTGATACTTGCATTTTGTATTAGTATAACAGTATATTTTGGACAACTATTTATTAAATACATTCCTGCAATAGTTGTAGTTACAATGATTGTTTATTTGGGACTGGAGTTGATAGGAAAAGCATTGATAGCTTCATGGAAGTTTTCTGATAATTATGAAAACTTCAATATGATAATCATAATAGTTGCAATAATGACTATTGGATTTGTTGAAGGAATAGTTATAGGAATAATGCTCTCATATATATTTTTTCTGGCATCCAATTATAAAAGAGGAAAAATGGCTCCTAGCAATTCAGCTAGATCTTCTGTTCGGAGGCATTACCGTGATCAACAATTTCTCAAAGAAGTTGGTGGTAGTCAAATCCATGCAAGGATGTTACAAGGCTATATGTTTTATGGAACAATGAAAGGAATTGAAGATGATATAAAGGAATTCCTGATTGATTGTGAACAGAATTCAAAGCCAATTAGATTCTTAATTTTGAACATGTGTGATGTTACTGGATTTGGGATTAATGCTGTCCAAGTGCTTGAAAACATTCAAAAATATCTTCAACGTCAAAAAATATACTTTGTAATCTGTGGAATATCATTACATGGCTCTGAGCAAGTTTATAAACCATTGAAGAAATTGTCATTTTGGAAAGATTCACATAATGACTATGTAAAGGTTTTTAGTAAATATAATGAGGCACTTGAATGGTGTGAGGATTCACTTTTGGGAACTTATTATGCTAAACACAAACCACTATTCAATAATAACCAGCTTGGTAATTATTTATAATATAAATTTATTGAATGTTAAAAATCCATTAACAATATATTTTTTTTTTAATATTTATTAAAGTTGGAGTACATCATCAGATTATACCATCTTTACTTAAGGATGAGACTTTTTGTA